GAAAGAGTGAGTTTATGGTTTTTAAAAATCATATTTGCCTTCCTCTTGTCTGTTCATTATTTAACTCTTATATGAAGAATTTAGTGTTGTTTTTCCAGATCGGCAATATGGAAACTCTGAAATGCCAGACTCACAATGATGTCTGTGTTTGATGAGCAGTAATTTACTAGAAACCCATTTAATACTGCTCAGACCACACAGGACAGCAAGTATATTGACTGCTTTGTATCAAGTCTCACAATAATTAGACTTTCTAACACACAAATGAGTTAACTGAAGAAACCTTAATAGCAACTACATATTGGAAAGGAAAATTCCTATTTTCTTTTCACTAAAGTCAAAATAGACGAAGAATCAATGCACATATGTTATTCTATACATCAAAACGTTCACTAGATATAAATTGGAAATATTAGTTCTATTGTTTATTTTCCTGTTACTCTAGGCAAAGAGAAAACTGTATGCTGTCAGATTTTCAAAACCAAAATAACTTCTGATTATGATATGTTTTAAAATGCCATGGACACATTTTAATCTGAACAAATTAGACTTCTATATCACTTAATAGTAATTTAAATTTTAACTGATTTTTAAAATTGGTCTTCTCTCTAATTTGGTTAGATATTAGGGGTCCAATCACATATTCCTATTACCTTCTGTCTTTGTTAAACACTAGTGGAATCTCAATAGAAAAAAAGACATCCAAGTATATGCTCTATTACAGTGCTAGGTTTCCAGACAAAGCCAGAAAGCATTATTGGAGATCACAGCCATATCTCTGACCTCCCACCTTTAATTCATGATAACCAGACTCAATGCATTCTACTTACCTTCAAGTTGAAGGTAGAGAAGCTGGAAAGTAGTGTCTCACCCCCAAATTCATCTCATCCCTGCCATGCAGCCTGCCTGGGAGTATAACTTGCCCAGAAACTCCTCCTGCCTGGAGACTATGGGCACAAGGGTTGTTGTATGTGAAGATTGTCATGTCCAAGAGAAAAAACAAGGACGGATGGGTACATGCATGACATGTGTAAGCATTGACCTGTACCATACAGAATGAAAGCTAATTCATACCAATGAATGCCAGATTCTGATCAATTTTACCTACCAACGTGGAGGAAAAAGCAACAGTATGGACAATGAAGTGAAAGCTGTGGAAAGAGTATTCCTTATGCTGCCCACCAACTTGTAAGGAGAGAAGTATCTTAGGCTATGAGCTGAAACTGGAGAAGGAGATTGAAGCAAGATGGTACCCCTGCCTCATCCCAGTTTGCTTTCTGACTCCATTGGAATAAGCATATTAAAGATACAAAAATATTTGAACACAATGAATAAGAAGATATTCATTTAATTTCTGCAAATAGAGTTAGGAATATAATACTTAACTTTGTTTATTATTTCACAGATTCTACTATATAATTTTATTGTTATGTGTTTAAATATCTCCTTTTTTATAAACCTGTGAAACCTGGACATAACATGGAAATTACATTCAGCTTCGATAAAAGCACCCCCTCTATAACGGTGCGCTGCTCCCTGGCATCCTGCAAGGTCGCTTTGTGGAGCGGGAGCTAGCGTGACAAGACACTAGCTCGGGGGCGCGCCTTGGTATCAGCAGCGACGGGGTGTCCGTCCCACGAGAAACTGCGGCCGCAACAGCTGCGAGAGCTGCGAAGGCGACGGCTGAAGGATCAAGAGCTGATCCGCCGGGTTGAACCGCTGCTGCCCCGGCGGAGGGTGTGGCCTATGAAGCAATTCTGGAATAAGTTTTTGCAGGACAGGGCCCCCTGGAAGAACGTGATCTATAAGACGTACCGACACAGCATCTTTGCTTTTACTCATGTACTGGCCCCTGTCTGGATTATTCATTATTATCTCAAATATCATGTGAATATAAAACCATATGCCATCGTTGAAAGAAAGCCAAGAATATTTCTAGGAGATACAATTCTGGAAACTGGGGAAGTAATCCCACCAAGGAAAGAATTTCCTGATCAACATCATGGAATATTACTTTTAAAATTTCAAAGGTGTTTGAGCCCAAGTTTGTTGCTACATTACCAAACTTACTGATATATTTTTTGGAAAAGTAACTTTAATAAAGTTTACTCAGATTAAAAAAAAAAAGTGCCTCCTCTTTTCCTGTGATCCCAACCTCACTTCACATAGAAAGTTCAAGGCTGAATTCATAGCTAGTACATTAGTTATGAAGGCAATCCCGTTAAGACTAGGCTCTTTCTCTTGAACATGAAAGACCTTTAGAATTTTATTAAAGTTTTCTAATTCAAGTAGTATTACAGAAAATTCAATTAAATTAAACCTTTTTTAAATGATAAACTGGTACTGGTAAACAAAGTGATTACTTATCTTCTTACCAAAAAAATATTTGGACGTGAATCTTCCTATACAAGATGTTTTAAATGAGAAACATAATAGAAAATTATCTTATTTAAGGGAAATATTTGAGTAAAAAACTGATGAGAGGAGAAACTGAAGTCTTCATAGATCTATTGAGAAACAATTGTTTCAACACTTCAAAATAACCTTCATAAAAATTCTGTCTATCTAATTGTTCAAATTATCCATCCCATAAACACACACACGCAACGTAGAAGAGACCGTCTATCATATAAGGAAGTTTCTGGTGAAGTTGGAGAGGGAAATGAAATTTGATTACCATATGAAGACCATAATAAGAGACTGTCTATATCATAGATTTTTTTGTTTTTTCAAATTGAAAACATCTTGTTTCTTAGAGATGAAAATCAACTGGGTAAAGGTTGGACTAAATGATTCTAAAACATGGAGACTCAAGTGAGGACAACAAATACATAGAAACTCAGGGAGGGAAAGGATCCCTCTTCTTTCCTTTATCTCCAAATTTAGAAAAAAGAAATTATTGGTCAATTCTCTACAGAATTTTATTGAGGTCGGGTTTCTATAACAATGAGCTTGTTTTGTTTTGTTTTTCTTTTTTAAAAAAATAATGAAGAGCTGCTACCACAAATAAAGAGGCCAGAAGGAAAGGACTCATCTTTACATAAAGTGGTAAAGGAATGTGAAGGTTTTTTCACACTTGAAACCATTCCTGAATAGGATTGGTGTTTTTCTAGCCTTACTGAAGATTAGGTTATGGTTAGATTATGCTTACTACTGGTTGGATTATGCTTACTACTACTCTAATAGTTTGAGTGTCTAACATTCTGAATGTCCATCCGTATGTTATAAAGTTAGCAGAGGTGCAACTAGTGGCAACTTAATGAAACTGGGTGTATCACAAAAAAATATGTGGTCTATCTTGTTTTTTAAAATATTTTTTGTAAATGAAAGAAAGAAGCATATATCTGAAAAAACTGTGAAATGTTACAAAAATAAACAAGAAAATTCTTGCCTTTAGTCACTCATATTGATAAAAACAATGTAGTATTGATGATTTAAAGCTAAATAAAAAATATACATTTTAAATAAAACAATGTAGAATAACTGAAAGAGCATTGCTTTAGGGTCAAGAACAATGGGTGCTTTTTCCAATGTAAAATTCTAGGTAGTTGTTCATGCTTTAGGTCTCAGTTTCCTCATCCCTAAATGAGTTCTGTATAGAAGAATAAGCTCTAATTTTTATTCAAGCCCTAAAATGATGTGACTGGCGCGATGTCTTCTCTCTTTATTCATTTTCTGTAGGCTTGGGCTCAAGTTGTTGCTGTATTTTTAGAATATTTAATACCACAGACTAATGGCTTTCAATCCTGTTGATCTCAGAACTTTCTTATGCTATTAAAAGTTATTGAGAACCCCAAAGAGCTTTTGTTTCTGTGGATTACATTACATCACATTCAGGCTTAGGCGATCAGTGATGCAGTGTCGATTTTCAATTGCTACCTTGGCTCTACTCCAAGCCTCTCTTCTCATCAGTACTAGAGGGACTCAACTGGGTCTTCAGGGAAAAAGAGTTAATTTCCTTATTAGTATCTTTAGATTAAACATTGCTATTCAGCAATTGCTATTCTCCTGCTTTTTTTCCAGAGTTTACAACGTTTTTCTAGGTTATTCTCTAGGCAGGTCTTTGCTACCTCCTCAGAATGGATCAACAAGATATCATTTCTTCTGTCTCTCTTACATAACTCAGCTTTACTCCCTCCTGCGGAAAGAGGTTGCAATTTTTGTTCTGTCTACTTGAAAATAATAAGAATGTTGGTTTTAAATGAGTTTTCTTTTTAGGTTACAGAAATGGTAAATTATAAAAATTGCAGTTTCACAATTACAGGGCAGTGACAAGACCTTAGCCTGATTTTTTTAAAACCATCATGGTTATTCTATCATCCTCAAATTTTAGATTTAAAAATGTTTTTCAGCCTTGTAGGAAATTTGAATGCACTATGTTTCCTGGAACAGTCAAATTTTGTTCTGGAAGTTATTGCTTCTTCATGATTTGTCTGCCTGAAAGTGTAGCAAATTATTTAAAGTGTAGTCCTTGGTCAAAGATTCATAGACATTTCTTGGTGGCTATTGAATCAGAATCCCCTCCTCCCAGAATTCACCTACACCCTCCATTTTTGAAATTTCATCTTCTTTGAATGCAGGATATACCTGTACTGTAGTTCTTCCTTTCACTCATGGTTGCTATGGAAACAAACCCCGATTGTATACAATGGATTTAATGAGATTAGAAAATATAGACTGTCATCATGGCTACATTAAAATAATTCCTATTCTACAGGGTGTACACTAATGAATATAATATGGTGTGAAATAATTTCTCTGTGGTGACAGGGTAGTTTGCAACTATATATATCAAAGAAGGCTGAGTCCTTCTCAAGAGCAACTTTATATCACAAAAACTAATCATGAACAGATGGCTATTGTTTTGCTCTAGAATGGTAGTTATTACATACATATGTGATATTTTTAATAATTGCACATAATAAAAAAGAAAAGAAAAAACATAATTGCAAACTTTTTGTTAGTGCTAGTTTTGAAATGACATAAGCAAAAGCTAAGTCAATTTATGAAGACTGGTGTGTCTAATTCCCTTGTACCTCACAAATTTTGATAAGGGCATTACTGTTTTCAATGAATACTGAGAATAAATTTTTTTTCTCCTTCACATTATTATTTGGCTCTCCTAAATTATATAATTGATACTCAAATTTACTGGGTAGGAAATTTAGTCTAGCAGTAAATGTTTGCATACTGGTAGTGATAATTTGAAGTCTGCTTGAAATAAACTTGGGAAAGACAAATACATTCAAATTATTTACATCTACAAAAAGCACAGAGGGGAGAATATCACACAACGATATAAAATCCACATGTAATTTCATGAACAGGATACTTTTCAATGAAAATATTCATGACTAATTTTCAGGCACTATGTTAGTTTATCAAATATTAATGAAAATTCAGGTTATCATGTATATCATGTACATTGAAGAGATATTCATAACATGAAAGAGTGAAATTCTTAGTGAAAATGTTAATATTACATTTTACAATCTGAATTCTTTTATTTTTCATATGATATATGAAACTCTTAAAATTATAGAACATAATTCATTTATGGATGCTTTTCTTTTCATTTTTCCTTAAGAAGATAAAGTTGTACCTGTTTGGGTTGTCTGAATTTTTTTTTTTTTTGATATCGAGCTGCATGAACTGTTTGTATATTTTGGAGATTAAGCCTTTGTCTGTTGCTTCATTTGCAAATATTTTCTCCCATTCTGAGGGTTGTCTTTTTGTCTTGTTCATGGTTTCCTTTGCTGTGCAAAAGATTTTAAGTTTAATTAGGTCCCATTTGCTTATTTTTGTTTTATTTTCATTACTCTAGGAGATGGATTACAAAAGATTTTGCTGTAATTTATGTCAAGGAGTGTTTTTCCTTTGCTTTCCTCTAAGAGATTTATAGTGTCTGGTCTTACATTTAGGTCTTTAATCCATTTTGAGACCTAAATAGACATTTCTCCAAAGAAGACATACAGATGGCCAAGAGGCACATGAAAAGCTGCTCAACATCACTTATTATTAGAGAAATGCAAATCAAAACTACAATGAGGTATCACCTCACACTGGTCAGAATGGCCATCATCAAAAGCTCTACAAACAATAAATGCCGGAGAAGGTGCGGAGAAAAGGGAACCCTCTTGCATTGTTGGTAGGGATGTAAATTGATACAGTCACTGTGAGGAACAGGAATGAGGCTCCTTAAAAAACTAAAAATAGAACTACCATATGACCCAGCAATCCCACTACTGGGCATATACCCTGAGAAAACCATAATTCAAAAAGACACATGCAGCCCAATGTTCATTGAAGCACTATTTACAATAGCCAGGACGCAGAAACAAACTAAATGTCCATCAAGAGATGTATGGATAAAGAAGATGTGGTACACATATATAATGGAATAATACTCAGCCTTAGAAAGATATGAAATTGGGTTATTTGTAGAGGTGTGGTTGGACCTAGAGTCTGTCATACAGGATGAAGTAAGTCAGAAAGAGAAAAACAAATACCATATATTAAAGTATATACATGGAATCTACAAAAGTGGTACAGATGAAACTATTTGCTGGGCAGGAATAGAAATGCAGACATAGAGAACGGACGTGTGGACATGGGGCAGGGCAAGGGTACGGTGGGACAGATTGGGAGATTAGGTTTGACATAAATACACTACTGTGTATAAAATAGATAGCTAGTGAGAACCCACTGTATAAAACAGGGAGCTCAACTCGGTGCTCTGTGATGACCTGGATGGGTGGGACTGGGGGGAAGGGAGGTCCAAGAGGGAGGGGATATATGTATACATACAGCTGCTTCACTTCACTGTACAGCAGAGACTAACACAACACTGTAAAGCAACTATACTCCAATAAAAAAGAAAGATATACCTGAAAAGATTATACAATACTGAAAGAGACAGACTTCATTTAAAAAAGAACTATTTAATAAAATCAAAAACACTTCTGTGAAAAATTGGATTACAAAGGTGATTATTAGTGCACTGCACCAAAAGTAAATGTTTCATATTTTATTATGTTATAAAATCAAAATTCATATTGAAATTTTAAGTATTT